CTCAGTGGATTGAGTGTTGACCCACGCACCAGGAGGTCACTGGCTGGATTCCCAGTCAGGGCACATGTCCGGGTTGCAAGCACGATCCCCACTAGGGGGCATGCAGAAGGCAGCCAATCGATGTTTCTCTCTCATTGATGTTTCTATCTCTAAAAATCAATAAAAAAATATTAAAAAAAAAAATTCAAAAGGGATAGTTGCATAATTTGAAGAGCAACTCTAAATTTATCAAGTGTTCAAATTTTTCTTGTAGACTCTGCAGCCAATTTACAAAATGCTGATAAGTTAAAATTTGTAAATGTCCGAAAATGTGCAAAAGTCATTATTCATGATTTGTATTATGAAGTTTCAACAAATTCTTGTCTCTGCCTGTGAAGGTGACAAATAAGGTTTTCCTGTCTTTGGAGCTTCACTTTTAGTTCATTCCTATGCAGTGTGACAATAGTGAGAAAATGTGTTATCACACTGACAAATTTTGTTTCTGATTACTGAGTATTTGGGAAGCATTCCTCTTGTTGCAAGATAATCTTAATTGGAATTGTGGACGAAAAAGGGGCCATCCACTAAACTTGTGAAGCTCAGGGAGGCCTGCGTGGTGGGCCTTACAAACTCAGCAACCGAAAGTTACCACATTAGGATGGTATGAACATAAAAATTCCTAACTAAAGAAAAGTGGAAGTCATGTGCTTGGCCTGTAACTTCCTTGACAAAGGTAAATCTTTACCTTAAGTGAGCCTGTCTATTGTACCTTTAAAATGTCAAGAGTAATCTCCTTTACAGACCCCTCAGGGCACCAGAGCAGAGACCACAGAACCCTCATTATTGTCTGTTCCCCTCATACCATCTCTCTGTGCTATAAAAGTTATTAAACTATCCTGTCCCCACCAAAAAAATATTTCTCCATTTTACTTTTTATCCAATCCCAGAGATTTCCCCACTTGCTTTTACCAAACAATTTTAACTGTGACACTTCAATTTTTCAAATTCTGAATCAATGGACCTTTAGTAGTATTAGGTCTTGTATTCTATAGATAACTGTTGGCTTAACTGAAGAAATTTCACTTTTCTTAAACATTTTTAATCTTTTCCTCATAATTTTCCAACAAAATTTCCATAATACTTAAAAAAAGCATCTCTATTAAATTGTTTTCTGTGCATAAATAGAAGCCAAATATACAAGCTCATATCCTGTTATAAATTGCTTAAAAACTTTGTTGGACATTTCAGGTGATTAATTTTGTCTATTCTTTTTTGAGTAAACATCCACTTTTTTCTTTTGCTCTGGTGCAGCAAATTACAATTGCCACCCATCATGGAATTTGTAATATGTCTTCCAGTCTTTTTCAGTTGTGGTACTAGCTCAGTTCTGTATCAGAAATGACTTTCAATTTAGTAATCTGTCGACAGTTATCTTACATAGGTACAGTTAACTCATGCTGTTCGATAAAATATTCAACACATTATAATGTTATTGATAAGTAAAACATTGTTAGAATGGAATCAATTATTTGACATCAACTGGTAATGTTTGTGTGTAATACAAACAAGCAATATACTGGTTCCATATCTTACACAATGCAACAGATAAAGGGAAATATGGTCCTGTCAAAACAATGTTTCATTTAACAGAAAAACATTTTACAGTTCCAGTCACACTAGCCATATTTCAAGTACTCAAAATCCACTTGTGGCTAAAAGCTACCATACTGAACACCACAGTGTAATCTGTTACATGAGGGGAAACTCAACTGGTTTTAGAATTCTTGGGTCTTTTCCATTTGTTGTGTGTTGCTTCATTACAGTACTTTCTAATGCAATCTCTTTACACTTAAATCATTATCAAGAATGTAAGAGTCTAAAGGAAAAATAGGCTAAAAGAATTATATTAGCATCAAATGCTATCTTTTAGTATTTTCTGGATTAATCAACTGTTTAGTAGGGGCATACTGGATCTCTTTTGCAGAATAAAAAATGACCAAATGTTTCTGTCAGCTCAGCAAAGGAAAAATTAAAGCCTTGCTGATAAACACCTGAGAGGGGTTGTCAGGGGACGAGTGACTGAACAAAACTCACTCACCTGTCTTTTCTCACACAAGTGAATGAGGCAGGAATCAAGGTTCTTAATGATTCCATTTCCTAAATATTTCAAAGTCCCTTCCTTTCTACTCTTACTGCCTTGCGAGCTGTCCTCAGCTTATCTTCTGTCAACTAAAACACATCAGAATCCAGTTACCTAGTCTTATTTAGTCCACCCCCCACAGTGCTGCTAGAGCAACCTTTTTAGAACGCAAACCTGGTAATGCTACTACTCGCATTTAAAACCCTGTATGACTCTCTACCACCACCTACAGGATGAACTTCTAGCTTCAGCATATGGCTCAAGGTTCAAAAGGCACCACCCACTGTGCTCCAGCCACTCAAGTGTACTCCCACCAGAAATCCACTCCATTCACAGCTGCACACACTTCCTAGACCCCCTCATCTGCACCACTGTGAATATTAAACAGAAAGTAAGTCCTGTATTTTGCAGATTTCTTCTGTCTGGCTTTGGTCACACCATCGTTCCCATTTTCAATATATTTCATGGACCAGGTTTTGAAGAATCAAATCAACTCTGGAAACAAACAGCACTAGTAGGATTGTCACGAAGGGGAGAGACTGAAATTAGCAGGGTTGCAGGGTTGGCAGTGAGAAGCCACTAACTAATGAAGCAGTGGTGCCAAGTCAGCTCCTCAGGGCCAGCAGCTCAGACTCACTATGCTAGGAAGGCTCAAAAGTTTCCGCATTAAGAGCCTGAGGCCACCTCCAGTCACACTTGTGTAGTGAGCAAAGTTTCCCTTGACAGGCCCAAAATAATTTAATATGCTTTCAAGTAGATCAGAGTGACTCAAAGTTTGCAGTTCAAAGAAAACGAGGACACCAATGTTCTACTCATTTGATTAAACATGCTAATATTTCTAAGGAAACTGCTCTTCAAGTCACCTTGCAATTCAGTAGTTTTCCCAATTCCTAGCTTTAGAAGAGGTTCATTAGACTCATTTGGGGAATGATCTACTTAGAACATTTTGTATTTTATTATTTGGAGGAAATTAACTTCCAGAAATATTACTCAAATTCTTATAACATTCTAGTAAAAACTATTTTCTCTAAGATTCTTCTAATATATAACCTGTATACTAAAATTGTCTTTACGGTATTTGCAAAAGCTTATTTTTAAAATTAATTTAGATTTGAATACCTAAATAATACCCCAAAAAGGGAATTCTCAGTATATATAACATCATTACCTAAAACCTGAAAACTTTATTCTAAATATATCCCAGTTCATGTTTCCTATGGTACTTGCTTCTCTAAAGAACATTAACTAGAATTTATAAAGTAATATGGACATTCTTCATTAAGTTAAGTGCCTACTTTAAAAACTGGACATCTCAGGAAACATTAATTTTATCTAAATTGTCTTTGGATTTTAAATGATTTTTCCAACATCTACATAAAAATTTATACTTATTGCCCTGGCCAGTTTTGCCCAATGGTTAGAGCATCAGCCCACAAACCCAAGGGTCGTGGGTTCGATTCCTGATCAAGGGCAGGGAACCTTGGTTGCAGGTTCCCCACATTGGTTCCGGCACATGCGGGAGGCAACCAATTGATGTGAGAGTGTGTCTCTCTCACATCAATGTTTCTCTCTCTCCTCCTCCCCCGCTTCCTCCCTCTCACTCTCTAAAAATCGATGGAGAATTTAAAAAAAAAAATTACATTTATTTGTTATAGAAGTAGTTTCTAAAAAGCAAATGTAGTTAATGTCCTGAAGAGCTGGGAAGTCATACATTTTAGAAGTTTATATACAACAAAACATACATGTAACAAGAAAAACATTTAATGAATTAGCACAACCCCACCAACACAATGTTTGCTACTATATTTAAAAACATTTATTTAAAATATGTCAATCTCCTTCCAAAAGACAGAAGACATACGAAGTCATTATGAGGTATATGGTAACAACAACAATCCTAAATGCAAAGGACCATCAGTTGCCTAAATATAAAACTGAACTTTGGCAAAGATATGAGTGTTAACACAGAATAATACAGCCATTAAGGAAATCCTTAAGTTTATACCATCCATTTCTACAGTATTATGGCCTTGTCCCCCAATCACTCTTCCCTTTCAAAGGGTGAGTTATAACCCTGTCCCAGATGACTCAGAATTTTAAATATGCGGTCTGCTGATTAACATTTCTTTTCTCAAACCTCAATACTACAGCTATACAAATTACACTTTTAAAATATTTGAAACAGATATTGAATTTATTGGTCGGCTATGAGTAGGAAAATACATCGGTAAAGAAAAGAGACCCTGTATATAAATATAATACTAGCTAGTTACAATTTGACCAAGTAGGTTCCACTGAAAAGAACAGTAAAAGCCCTTATCATCTCCGGTCCATAGGTACATATTCAGTTTCCCATTACCCTTATCAAAGAGCTGCCTAGGCAAATGCGACATTCTTTGAGCTTAGTGCAGATAATGTGCTGGGTCTTGTTACATGAATGGTAAACAAAAGTTAGCCCAGTGCATCACACAATATAATGTACTGTGAATAAAAACTAGATACTCTATTTTAGATACGCCTTCAACATACCGGTTATTAAAATTTATGTAACCAAAGAGAAGAGCAAAATGAACATCTTGAAATACTGTTTATGAATGGGGGAGAAATACTTGCTAAAAGTGTTCTTTGAATTATCTGCATCATTTGTTCTGGGCATTCTGACTGGTTCATTAAAAGAACAAACTGCTTTAATTCTTTTGCCTAGGTTGGCTTTATTTTTATATGACATGACCCCCAAACCTTAAAAATCACTATGAAAACAAATCTTATGACTTTAAATAGTAAAAAATGGAATACTAAAACTGGAATTTATCATCGAAAACCTGCATATTAGAAGAGCTCTGAAATTTTAATTTCAACATTTAGAAGTGCATTCCACCCTATTAATAATGTCCCTAGGTTTCAAAGTGCTAACTCAAAATAAGTTTTCCTGGCTGTCACTAAATCAGGTAAAAATAAAAGCACATTTCTTGGAGATGTTCCTTGACTATCTTCTTCTAGGATGATTAAAGTTGCAACCAACATTTTATATCTACAACTTTAGTTTAAATTATGTCATAAATTAATTTTAATGAACATAATTTAAATTCTCAAAGCATAAATAATTACCACTAATACGGCAAACTGTACTTCAAGAGATTTACAACAAGGAATTGAGTGCCTCCAAGTTTCTGACCATTAAAACAGAAAACACAGCCCAAGTTTTCTGTAAAACATTCATACGATGGATTTATCCAGCAAGAACAATGAAATTACGTTATGGCAACACCACATTAAATGTATTTGTTGCAGAATTTCTGGGGAAAAAAAATCTAGACTGTGAAAACATACTCGTTTTTTATTGCATTTTAGGGAGTATGGATTATTGAAAATTACTCAGGACACAAATATTTAAAACACAAAACCTTGCTTAATAAAAGTATCACAGTCTATTTTGGTGTGACCGTTGATTCCCTACAGATCCAAAATATTTCTTTTTCTTTTGAAGGTTATAGTTGTAAACCTACACTCTTGGATCAATTCATCACTATCTGAATAAGGTGGAGAAGCTGTTCAAACTGACCCCACAGAATGCAGTCTGCCTAAAAGAGGCAAGAACAAATATTTTCAAGACATAACAGGCCATTGTATCTTACTATCCTGTCCCCCCAATTTAAATATATCATAGACAATAACATACAGATGAAAACATTTTCTGTAAAGCTCAAACCCTTAGCATCTAACAAGTGCACTCTAGTTCCAGCATCTATGGAAAGAACACATCCTCCATTAACAAATACAAACTGAGTAAGTGCTGCTCTCCTCCCCGTTCCATAAAGCTCTCTGGACCTGTTATTACACAATGCAGATCAGAGGAAAAGCAGTATCCTTTGTTTCATCAGTCCAACCAGATCCAGCTTGCCTTTGCTGGGAATTGTCATGATGCACATTACCAACACAGTGTTTAGGAAAAATGAGTAAACACACCTTTATTCACACTTTACAAAAAAATAAAACAAAAAACCCCATAAAAAGTTATGCATTGGTTCTACATCAATAACACCAATTTCTCAATGTATTCATTATAAACTGGACGTGTTTGGTGTCAGCACAACTTAAACAAAAAGAAAAAAAAAATCCATCACAACAAAATCTTTAAAAAACCTCAAAGGAGAAATCAGGTCCCAGACAAAGGTTCAAGATCAACAGCTTTTGGAGAATTTTTTTTAAAAAGAAAAAAAATATTTAAACAGTATGTAAATTTTATTTTCTCTTAAAAACAGAATGAGCACATTTAAGTGCTGAACATTTTTCATAAAATTTTAAGTCATTATCCAAAATGACTTATTCTCTGTGTAAAAATTGTTAATTATCATTCAACATTTTTTCCCCCTAATGCTCACATGGGTGTCCTTTTCCTCCCTTGCCTGCAGCTGAAACAAAAGCAGTTGGACCAAGTTTCCTCTGAAATCATTTAATTTTTGAGGTGATAATAAATGAATGAGACCAGAATATATATGAGTTAATTTTGCAAAGTTAAAGCTGGCTCTAATCTCTAATCAGTACTAACGGCACTATGGGCAAAATACACAGAGTACAATATAACTTTTATCTTGGTTGCCATATTAAAATAACTTAGTCACTTCAAAAATGATCTGAAGAATTGTCTTACGGACCTGCTTTGAAAATACATCTTATTTATACTGCTTCATAAACTGAAAATTACTTAAAAAAAAAAAAAAAGGAATGATTTTTTTTTAAAGAAAAACATGGAGACTAAGGAATACATGGAAAACAAAAAGACTTCACATGATAGTAGTATTCTGGGTGACAGCACTGTGCTATGACACCAAGAAGCAGTGCTTGGGTCTGGTGAGCAAAGACCCAGAGATTCACCCTATGTTCTAAAATGTGATAATTCAATGCTTCACAATGGAAAAAAAGTCACAGCTCATACAAAAGCATTTCCATAAAATCCTCACAAATGTTCAACAGTATTTAAAAACTATAAAAGAAGATGCACAGATTTTCTCTGCATGCACAGGCAGTGGTTGGTGAGAACAATTTAGGCAGGCACAGTGGAGATAGGAGGTGTCTCAAAAAGGAGTTAAAAAGCTGTACCGAAGCAGCTGTAATTTTTTAACTTAAAAAAAGTTAAAGATTTAAAAATACCAGAATGTACACATATCGACCATTACATTCAGTCCATAAATGCCTACAGATCATCACTGCTCAGCTTATCTGTCCTGGTAGGTAGAAAGTTTTTGTAAAAACCCAGAATTCACAAATAAGGTTACTTCTGGTCCGAAAAAATGTCCTAAGCTTTAAACAGGTTTAAAGAGCAATGTTCTCCATTTAATAACAAAGTAGTACAAAACGGCCAAGAAAACCCTACCAGTGCAAGTCATCAGCAGAGAAAGTCTGTTCCAACTTCTTTTACAAGCTGGCCTTCGTCACACATGAAACAGGTAAAAAACCAAACAAACTTAGCCTTAATTTACAATACAATCATTTCCAAATCTGATTTTTAGTACAAAATTTCATAAATCAGGTCTTTTGTGGATCATATACAATCATAAAGGCTAAATTTAAATTCTGTATTTTACAAATATGTCTGAAAAAGGAGGGAGTAAAGTATGGGAGAATGGTCTCTGGATGTTATTACTGGCCTCAAAAAAGTAGTACTACAGGTTTCTGTGCAAAGAGAATATGCTGTTCAAACATTTTCCTATTTCAAGGCATGAAAATATTATATAGGACAGAAGAAACAGGAAAATTACTTGTAACAAATTAAAGATAGGTGCAAACACACCAATCCCTGTCCAACAGTACATAAAGCATATTGGGCTCAGAATGTGTCTGTTGCTAGCACCTGGCTTTCACACTGCATCCTTATCAAATAATCAGACTGAAAACTCCAATCATCACTAAGAAAAGAAAATTCCTAGTGGCCATACCTCACTCCCCTATATTCAGATTTTTTATAAGTTTACAAGTGAAATTGAGGTCGTCTTCTGAAGGTACTTGACTACCTCCTGCCAGGAAGGTGAATGCCGTTAACTTGAGGCAGGAAAGGCAGTAAGAGCTCCAGTTGTGCAAAAAGTGAGAAGTGGTCGGAGGGGATAAGCGGGTGTGGGCAGCCGCTGATATTATTCTCAACTAGCCAATGGTGGTCCAGAGGTCCCAGGATGCCTAATGTGTTGAGCTGAGGCTTAGAATAGAAGATGTAGTCAATTATACCCTGAAAATCAGAAGGAAATAAAAAAGACAAGATCCCACATAAGATAACACTGAAATACTGAAAGCTCTCAAGACATGCCCTTACAGTCACGTTTGGTAAATAATTTTATTAGCGTGTGGGAAGAGGCAGTGCTACCTAAGCCAAATGGTCCCCCAAATGTCAAATCTCTCAGAATGAAGACGCTGAGGCATAGCAATCATTCATTCTTCCTCCTATCTAGATCCTTTCAAAAGTTTTAACAAGACCTAAAGGATCTTTCATGATATGGCCTCTGTTTTTTCCCTCACTTAATCGCTGCCACTTTCCCTTGCTGACTATCCTTTTGCTATATTAGCCCTTTTGGGGAAGGGGGGTGAACATTCTTTGCATGTGCTGCTCTCTTTCCTGCCCCAGGGCTTTCACACATGCTGTACCCCCTGCCAGGATCACTTTCTTCTACTTGTCATCTGGTTAATTCCTTCTCAACCTTCATGTGTCAAGCTCAATCACTTTCCAAAGACCTTTGTCATCCACTTAATACCTCCTCCCACCACTCCTGATTCTCTTCCCTTGTTAATGTGCATCCCACTACATACTTATTTATGTGGTTTAGACAGGGCTGTCCCTGCCCTGCATGTCCTCAGCAGCACCAGGCACACAGCTAAGCACCTCTTGGTTGGCCCTGTCCTCCCCGTAACTTCACATGCTCCTCTACATGTTCTTGGCCAAAAGTGTTTAAGCACATTTGAAGGTCTCCTTCCTATCTCTACATTACCAGGAACAAAAATAAAAAAAACCCACACCTTAATCTCTCCCACTTTTCCGCTGTCATCCTCACCTCTTCTTCAATCAATCTGTTTGAAATAAGAATCTGCAAATTGGTTTTTACTACCTCACAGTTACTCTCCACCTCCTGCACTCTAGTGTTTCTGCCCAGCTCTCCAGGGAAACAACTCTCATCAACATTTTTCTGAAGCTTACCCCTCACTCCTCTATCCTAGAAAGGCCGTATTTCCTTGGCAGTTAAACTCCTACAGTCCTGGTCCCCCCCCCTCTCGTTTTTGACATTTACATATCAGTTTTCCCCAGAGTCTACTCCAGCCTCTCTTCAACTCAACACACTCATCTGTTACCAGGATTAAATCATTATCTATAGTACTGAGGATCCTCCAAAGTCAAATAAAAAACCATCATGGTGTTCAACAGTTCCTTTAAAGAGCCTTCCCCATCAAAATTAAGAACCAGTTAACACTAGTATTTGAACTCTAGTAGACAATCTAACCTGAACGATTCTTGTTCCATCAGGTTAGAAGTGTTAAACTAGGAATGAAGAAAGTAGAAATGCAAAAGGTGGCTAAAAAGGACAGCTGAACACAAGCCCTAAACAGCTGCTGATACTAATGAGGAGAATCACTAAGGAAAGGCTCCATACTGTAAGCTGTTAACTGTAAGGTATATAAATATATTCTAGCAAATTAAAAATGGCCAACAATAAACCAAATTTTAGCACTCAAGGAGTAGGTTTCAGTTTAATTAACACGAGAGATGGAACACCTCACCCCAACTGACACCAAATTATATACAGTAAGTCCTTAATTAACGGCTCAATCAGTTCTGCAACTTTAAGAGATACAACATATAATGAAACCAATTTTACCATAGGCTAGTTGACATAAACAAAGTTAAACTCCCATGGCATCTCATCAACATTATAATGAAACGATGTTGGAAAAAAATGACATTATTTAAGGACCTGCTGTACTCTGGTACTGCAAATCCAGCTGTCAGTAGTGAGTCTATAAGAAACATAATTGCCCCCAAAAGGTGAGACAGTTAACTCAGGATTTACTATTATTATTTTATCTGATTTCTTACACTGGAAATGATTCTAAGTTATCTAGAATATTCCTGTCAACTAAAGATGGCCTACTCTGAACACATACTCACATTTTAAAGACTTGACAAATAGTAAGATTCTCCTTTAAAAAATGGAGGTTTTATATGTTTATCAATTTCAAAACTCACCTTGAAATCAAACGTGTAATTTGTGTAAGGCATCAGGCCACTCTCATAGGCACTCTTTAACTTGAAACCGTGCGTGATCCTTCCATTGGTTGTCCCATTTTTCCCATTACAGCTGAAGTTTGTAAGACTTTCATTATATCTTAGTTCCTTAAAGTCTTTATGATTTGTTTCTACTCCACCAGTGCTCAAATATTCTACAACACCTAGAATGAAAATAAATGGACTTTTTTCAAGGTCAAGCCTAACATACGCTGTATAAAACATAACTAAAAAGATAATTGAATTTTAAGTACTTTTATACTATACTTTCTAAAATCTTCCCACTTTACAAAATGGTTTTTTACATTTGCCAGAACTTGTCTAAATCCATGTGTACATGGTTTTAATCATAGTATACTGAATATTTTATACTTTGTGTTACTGTTTCACATGAACGTATGTGTAGTCTCAACTACCTTTTTTAAATAGTGCACAATACAAAAGGCAAGGCTGGCACATAACATCTGTTAAACTAGTTTCCTGTTTTTTAAACCTCAGCCTGTTCCTATTTTTTAAAAAGAATCAACACCATAATCAACATCTTTGTATGTAGGTCTCTACTTATGCCAAATTATTTACTTGGTATAAAATACCAAGATTAGTATTCATTGTTCTACTATATATAGTGGCAACTATGGAAGAGAATACCTTCAGTTAGTTACAGAGCAAGTTCACTGTCTCTGGACACTATTTTCCCAATTTCCTAAGTACAAGATGGGCTATGCAAACATTTATTTTATTTTAATTTTTATTTATTTATTTTTTAAATATACCTTTATTGATTTCAGAGAGAGGGAAGGAGAGGGAGAGAGAGAGATAGAAACATCAATGATGAGAGAGTCATTGATCAGGCCCGCAACCAGGCATGTGCCCTGACTGGGAGTCGAACCCCGATTGCCTGGATCCTAGGTTGACGCTCAACCGCTGAGCCACGTGCGGCCGAGCTATTTTAGTTTTCATTTAATTAGTTAGCAAGGTTGGACATTTTCCCTTGTGTTTGCTATTAAAATACTGTGTTGGTTTTTTATTGTTGACACTATTACAGACGTCTCCCATTTCCCCCCTTTTGTCTCCTTCCCCCTTATGCCCTCCTCCCCGCAGCCTTCATCACATTGGTGTCTGTGTGTATGGGCTATGCAAATATGTTCTTTGGCTAATCTCTTCCCG